TGGCCTAGGGCTTGAGAAATCTGGTGAAAATTAAGATGTGCCATTTATAGGGCATGGGAAGGAAACTAAGGAGGGACAAGAGAAAGACTTTTATCACCTTAAGTGACTCTGAGAACACAGGCAAGGTTGTGTTACATAGATATGGATTGATATCAGTTCACAAGGTTCTGGCATTGAAAGTAGACACAGAAGGAACCTGGAATGATCCCAGGTTAGGTATCGGAAAGGTAGATGGTTAACTTGAAAGATAAGGGTTAAAGAGTGACATTGTGCAGAATAATGGAGTAGGAACCTGTGAGGCTTGGTCAAAGCAAGCATTGAGTTTGAAAGAGAGGTTGTGGTAAACTAGTTCAGAACTTTAGAATCCAATCAGGGTTTATAACAACTAGGGGAATGCTGGATGAAGGAAGAAGCTATGTTTCTCAGGTCAGAGGGCGTGTGCAAACCAGCCATTATCCTTTACTCCTCAACCCTGCTGCGGGTGTGGGGAAAGCAGCTCACATTACTGGAGCGTCTGGCTGGTACCAGGGCAGACAGTGGGGACATTGGCCTACAAAAATTTGAGTGTATATGCTTTGGTGGATTTAGTTGTGCCCTGCACGACTGGCACAGATGCTTACCTAGGTTCTGGCCCTCTCAGCTACAGTGGCTTTCTTAAGCTGTGTCTATTAGAAGATATAAAGGGCTAGTCCCTTTTGGAGTTTTTTTGGAGCCAGACACTTAAGGAAATCTTTGGGGATGCCTGGATGGCTCTGTGGGTGGACATCTGCCTTTGACTCGGGGCGTGGTCCCAGGGTCCCAGAATCGAGTCCCACATCAGACTCCCTGCATGGAGCCTGCTTGTCTAGAACTCTGCCTGTGTCTTTGCCTCTCCCCCGTCTGTGTCTCATGAATAAAAAAATAAAATATTAAAAAAAAAAGAAAAGAAATCTTTGGCAGGTACCTAGCTGATCACAGAGGTAACAGAAGTTGCAGAAATTTCAGTAACCACACACAACAAGGAATATACACTTAGCAAAAAATAGTTCGGAAAAGTCGCAAACTGGAAACTCCAACCCTCAACAAAGAAAAATCAGCAATCCATGAGGAGTGGGAAAATCAGATTTCTTTTTTTTTCCCCAAAAGATTTTATTTATTTATTCATGAGAGACACAGAAAGAGAGACAGAGAGAGACATGGGCAAAGGGAGAAGCAGGTTCCCTGTGGGGACCCTGACACGGGACTTGATCCTAGGATCACAACCTGAGCCAAAGGCAGACACTCAATCACTGAGCCACCCAGGTGCCCTGGAAAATCAGATTTCTAGAGTTATCACATTTATTTTCAAAGGAATAAGTTTTAAACATCTCCCACTGACTAAAGAAATTAGTCATAATTTAAGAAATATTTGATGGTTAAATCTATTAAAAACTAAAATTATACATTAAGATATAAATTACACATTATAAATAGTACAGTTTAAAACTATACAATTCAGAATTGATGGCATTTCCCTATAACCACGTTCAACTCCTTAATTACTTTGTTTTTCCTATAAATAGTACCTCTCAGTTCTCAGCCTTACAAGTTATTAAAGCAAAGTGCATTTTTATGTACTAAACTAACAAAAAAATCAATCTGGGTGAGATGATAGCAGAAGTGTTTGACTCATGCACTGCCATCATATTTTGTCATATATTTGTTTTCATATAAAATTGATGTCTCCAAGTATTTATCAAGCACATTAAAAGTATAACAATAGTCAATATGCAGTACTGGTTATAACATCAAATATTGCAAGTTTGGCCACATCTGAGGAGCTAGAGAATTGTCTTACCTTTTAACTCCGTAATCTCATACTTGGGAGTGAGGGAGACTTGGGAGAAATAACCCAAAAGAAGCAACAGCAGCACCTCAAAATTTGACCTTGGGAAATAGAGTCACTGCGGCTGTAATTAGTTAAATTAGGGTGAGGTCATAATGCAGTAAGGTGGATTTGTAATTCAGTATGACTAGCGTCCTCATAAAAAGATGGAGAATGCCATGTGGAGGAGGAGGGTCGGAGTGATGTAGCTATGAGTCAAGGAATGCCAGAGATTATTGTGACCTCCAGAAGCTTAGGATAAGGCAAGGAAAGATTCCCTTACAGGTTTCAGAGGGAGTGTGGTCCTGACAACACCATGATTTTGAATGTCTAGTCTCCAGAACTGTGAGATGATAAATTGCTGTTGTCTTAAGCCATGGAGTCTGTGGTGCTTTGTTATGTCAGCCCAAGGAAACAAATACAATGGTCGACTGATTTTTGACAAGGGTACCAAGACCAGGCATGCAGAAAGAACCATCTTCTCAACAAGTGATGTTGAGAAAAGTGGGTGTCTATATACAAAAGTATGAATGTGGATCCTTACCATATATAAAAATTAACTTAAAAATGCACTGAAGACTAAATTTACTTCATTTATTTATTTTTAAAGATTTTATTTATTTATTGATGAGAGACACAAAGACAGAGGCAGAGATATAGGCAGAGGGAGAAGCAGCCTCCTTGTGGGGAGCCTGATGCAAGACTTGATCCCAGGATCCCGGGATCACCACCTGAGCCAAAGGCAGATGCTCAACCCCTGAGCCACCCAGGTACCCTGAAGACTAAATTTAAGATAAAACTGCAAAACTCTTAGAAGAAAGCATAGAGGAAAATTTTCATGGCTGTGGATGTAGAATTGATTTCTTAAATGGGTCTAAAAGCACAGCTAACAAAACAAAAAATAGATAAATTGGACTTCATTGATATAAAAAACTTACAGGCATCAGCTAAGTTGCATACAATAGTTAAGCTATTAAGATATTTTTGACAACTAAATTTTCTTAATTTCTCAACTATTGAATTCCCCAAAATATAAAAATTGCCTAAATTGAATCATAAATAACAAGAAATAAAGTCATGTTGAAATTATTTTGACATAGTGTGCAATTTACATTTTAAAAATGTATCTGAAAAAAAATAAAAATGTATCTGGAGGGGGGAGGGAAAAAATAAAAATGTATCTGGAAAAATTTATAGTCCTTGATATCTTAAATGTGCAGTAAGATTTCTAGAAACTGACTACAGCATGTAATATGGAAGGCATGTGTCTTGGTATGCACTTTGGTGTGTTTGGTTTTAATTTCATCTGCAGGAACATAGGAAAATCACTTATGATTTGTACTAATGATAATGGTGACTATTGGGATCACTGAAGGAAACAGAAGTAACATGTTCATGTATAGGTGAATGCTGTGATTCTCATTAATAGAGATTTCTCATCCTCGGGGAAAGGAAAATATTAAGAGGGTGAAAAAAAAACTCAAAATGGTAGAAAATATATATTTGCAAATCATGTATTTGATAAATAATTAATATTTAGTATATAAAGAACTACAACTCAACAGCAAAAACCCAAATAACCTAATTCATAACTGGACAGAGAACTAGACTAATATACAAATGGTCAGTAAACACATGGAAAGATGTGCAATATCATTAGCCATTGGGGAAACACATATCAAAACCACAGTGAGGTACTGCTTCACACCCAGCAGGATCGCTATAATTTAAAAAATGGAAAATGACAAGTGTTGGTGAAGATGTGGAAACCCTAGAACTCTTGTATGCTGATGGCGGGGATGTAAAATGGTGTAGCCGCTATGGAAAGAAGTCAAGCAGTTCTTCAAAAAGTAGACTTAGCACATGCCCAGAATTCTGATCCCAGGTATGCCCAAAGGGATTGGAAACAGGGACTCAAATGGCTGCTTGTACAGCAGTTCTTATAATAGCATTATTCACAGTAGCAAGAAGGTGGAAACAACCCAGATGTTTGGAAATATTGGTGATAGTAACATAGAACATTGTGAAATGTACTTAATGCCACTGAACTGTGCACTTAAACATGCTTAAAATGGCAAATTTCATGTTATGTATATTTCACCACAATTTTTATAAAGAGAGAGATTGAAGGGGTAGAGTGATAGATCTCGGAACACAGGAAAGGAAGGAAGCTTGGGAGAGGTTGGTAGGAAGAAGAGGGAATGTCTGCGGGATTAAAGGCTTCAGTGAGGTTGAAGGGAGAGTATTTAGAGAGTAAGATTGAGAGAACTGGAATAGTAGCAAGATGTGTTGACTAATGTATTGGGATGGTAGCATTTCAAGAGTAGGATGTTACCAGGTAATAAAGTTGAGGATGTGCCTTTGAGTGTAGACTGCATAAGAAGTGTGGGAAACGGCAGTCTAGGGAATTAAATAAACATGGTCAAACCCACACAGAAGGGCAGTCAGAAATAGGGTAGAAAGTAAGCCTGAGTTTCATATCAAAGATTAGTGGATGTCAGTGGTTGAATTTGCAGGAGCCAAAAAGGGAAATGATTTCTTTCTACTATATTTCTTAGTTCTGTCCTTACATTGCATTGTCGATCCAGAGGTTGTTGAATTTCTTTTTTTCAGACACATTTTGATAAGCCTGGTAGGTTGCCAGTGTTTAAGCCTATTGTAAAGTTGAGAGGTGTAGAAATAGGTTCAGGTAATATTTCAGCTCTTCTGTAGGTATAGAAGTTTTGATCTGTATCAAGTATTGATACAAGATCATTGTATGTATTGTATCAAGTATTGTCTGTATCAAGTACAATGATAGGGGAAAACATTGGCTTCTTGCTTTTCAAAGTGTATAAGCAAGTCTTTAAAGGACTTTTCATTAGATTTGCTCTGTTGTAGAAGTGTGCACATTGTACTGCTTCAAAAAGAATATCTTTCCAATAGAATTTTATCTAGAATTCTATACTATATTGCATTATAATTGTTACAAAATGTGTTCAATTTATAAAATAAAAAAGTCATTCAGCAAGCCCCATCTAATCAAATCCTACTTTGAGATTCCATTGCGGCCTCTAATTTTTTCTCTTGTAACAGATTTTTTATTTAATATAGCCTCTGATTTATTTAATATAGCCTCAGCCTCTGAGTCACAAAATGCTGTTTTTATCTTTCTTAGGAAAACGGGAAATCATTTTCACAACTTCATTAGTTGGCAAGATCTAAGAGCTGTTGAACTTGTAAAATCTTGGAATAATTCACTCATAATGAAGGTAATCTTATCTTCTATGATTTGGATGTTACTATTTTCCCTGTAAATATCCCTTTGCTGTAGACTTAAGAGTGTAATGTCCTAATTGTTCAGTTTTACGACACTGAGAAGAGAATACATACCTGTACACTCTTCACATCAGTGAAACTTCGTAGTAGTCACCCCAAAGCATATGTGGTGGTAGACTGAAGTACTTAACTGCGCTTCAGGAAACCCCGAAGAGGTTTAGAATGGCCTAGATGTTCTCACGTGAGTGAGAATTCATGTGGCTGATCTTGAAAAAAATAGACAAAATGCAAACTATGTCCAGAAAAAAATACAGAAATGTCTAAATTTCATCCTCTTTTGTTATAAAAATGGAGAGTGGATATCGAAATAGATAAGTAGCTGACTGCCACTAGCTCTTAACCTGATGCCTACTACACACATAGTGGTAGCAAATGACAGTGGTGATGACCATGACAGTGACAATGTAAGTGCAGGATTATTGAGTCAGAGGGCAAGATAATTTTCTAAATGTGGCCAAAACTGAAATATGTGTTGTCATCAATATTGCATATTGCATTTTGCAATATTACATGTTCTAATGCCACACAGCTAAATGCCTTCTCAGGTAGGTGCCTGTACCAGATGGTGCTTCAGGGAGTATCTGGAGCATATAGTTTACTCAATAACTATTGGGAGACATTAATTTTATATGAAAACAAACAGGAATATATTATGGTATATGACAGCGATGCATGAGTGAAACACTTTTGCCCTAATCTCGCCCACATTGGCTTTTCTTCTGTTCATTTAATATATGAAAATGCACCTTGCTTTAGTAACTTGTAAGGCTGAGAACTGAGAGGTGCTGTTTACAGGAAAGACTAATTAAGGAGCTGAAAATGATTATAAGAAAATGTCATGAACTTTAAATGGCAGAATTTAAAATTATACTGTTTATAATGTGTAATTCGGTATCTTAATGGATAATTTTAGTTTTTAATGGGTCAATTTGTCAAGCATTTCTTAGGTTAGTCAGTGAGGTATTTAAAACTTTTATCCCTTTGAAAATAAGTTTTGACTTTGGAAACATTTACTTCTGTAGTATGAACTCCAAATCTCAAATGTAAAACACTTAAAGCACAAACTCAGCATTTAAAGCACTTCTACTTGATATTGAACATGTGTATGATGTAAGCTTTGGCTTCTCTTAGGAGAAAAATGTACAGACTCTTGGAGTTTAGCGTGCTTCCTTTCACTGTTGTTCTGAGTCTTGCCTAATGGTTGGTAAGGCTTCTCTTTGCTTTTAGCATAAAATCTCAACTCCTTACCATGGATTGATTGGCCTTGTCTAAAGCTCTGACCACTTCCCAGACCCTTTGTCCCTGAAGCTACAGAGGATTGAGCTCCAGCTTTGTCAGCCTGCTTTTGTTCTTAAAGCACCCAAGCTGTCTCTTACCTTCAGGCCTTTGTACCCTCAAGGGGCTCTCTCTGCCCTATATGACTAGATTCTTCTCATCCTTCCAGGCCCAGCTCATAGACCATCTCTTCCATGTGGGCTCTTTCCTGCTATCCTATTTATAGAGTAGCATGTCCCCAGCCCCGTATCCAGTCTCTATTATATTGTTCTTTATTTCTTTCATAGCACTTAATCACATTTCAAAAATTTTGAGATGTACATTTTTTCAGTTGAAATTTTAGTTGAGATAAGTGTAGATTCATATTCAGTTGTAAGAAATAATACAGGGATCCCTTATAGGCTTTGCAGTTTCTCTCAATGGTAACATTTTACAAAACTATACTGTAGTGTCACAAACAGGATATTGACGTTAATACAATGTGTAGCTCTCATTCAGATTTCATTAGTTTTACTTGTGTGTATGTGTGTTATAATTTCTGTACAGTTTTTTTCCTGTGTTCCTGTATCTAGCACCAGTCAAGACGCTGAACAGTACCATCCTTACAAGGGACTCTCATGTTGCTCTATTTGTTTGTTTGTTTGTTTATATTTATTTTTTCATGTTGCTCTTTTATAACCACATCCAACTCTCTCCTGTGCACCTCCCCATTGTCTTCTCATCTCTCGCTCCTTGCAATCACTAATCTGTCCTCCATTAAAAATGTTCTCTCACTTCAGAATATTATATACATAGAGTGATGTATAAAACCTTTTGGGATTTGCTTTTTTTCGCTTAGTGTAATTCCCTGGAGAATCCAAGTTGTATGTGCTTCTTTTTATTGCTGAGTTGTGTTCAGTGTACAGATGCACCACCTGTTTAAGGACATCTGTGCAAATCCCAGTTTTTGGCTATTACAAATAGAGCTGTTTTGAACATTTGTTTACAGAATTTTATGTGAACATAAGTTTTCACTCTCTAAGATAATACCCTAAGAGTGCAATTAATTGCTAGGTCAAATGGTAATTGCATGTTTTGTTTTATAAGAAACTGTCAGACTTTTTTTCCTGAATAGCTTCATCATTTACATTCTTACCAGCAATGTGTAACTTATAAGACACTTTTTTTCCCAATTTAAAAAGGGTGATTTTTTTAAGGAGGATTTTTTTTTTTTTTTAAGATTTTGTTTTTAAGTACCTCTACACCCAGTATGGGGCTTGAACTCACAACCTCAGGATCAGGAGTTGCGTGCTCTACCTAGTAAGCCAGCCAGGCACCGCAAGCAGTATGTATTTTTAACCATAATTTTTAAAAATCATTTTAACCATTGATTATATCTTAGCATTATATCATAATTTAACTAGCAGATTTTTTTTCTTTTTTTGGTAGTACATTCAATATTGGTTTATTTTTACATTCAGTGTCTTCTTAAATTATCTCACTTACTGATTTGATTACTTGTCTGTCTCTTCCCACTAGAATGTAAATTTCAAGAAGGCAGGGCTTCTGCCTATATTGTTCATTCTGCTTTCTCAAGGCCTAGCACAGTACATAGAAGGTACTCAATAAATATTTGTTAAATGTAAAAACAAAATGTTAATTGTTCGTATGTTGATTAAAAGTGCAAGTGTAAGAACTCTTAATACTTTTTATGTGCCCCCTCCCCCATTATCTGCATTTTAGTAGAAGATCCCTGAGGATATTAAATCTGATTTTGTTTAATAGAGGGAAGTATAGTATTCTTAGGGAGGAAGAACCTCTTTCAGTTTGAAACATTCCTTAATATATAACACATTAGAAGGATTAAGATTTGAGAAACTCTTATCTTTTAATAAACAGTGTGCAAAATATAAAGAAAGAAAAGGTTTGAGCACTGAATAAGGTGAGAAGGAAGTTAAAAGGGTACAAAGTTAATATGATGAATAAGGTCTGAGGATCTAATTTATATCATAATTACTATAATTAATAATACTGTATTATATAATTGAAATTGACTAAGAGTAGAACTTAGGGGCAGCCCGGGTGGCTCAGTGGTTTAGTGCAGCCTTCGGCCCAGGGCGTGATCCTGGAGACCTGGGATTGAGTCCCACGTCAGGCTTCCTGCATGGAGCCTGCTTCTCCCTCTGCCTGTGTCTCTGACTCTCTCTCTCTCCCTGTGTCTCTCGTGAATAAATAAATAAAATGTTTAAAAAAAAAGAAAAAAAGAAAAAAAAAAGTAGAACTTAAATGCTCTCACCAAAAAGAAAAGGAAAAAAAAATTGGGGCTCATTGTTCAAAAAAAAAAAGAAGACTGAAATGTAAAGAGAATTGAATCTATACATTTTCTTGATTGTTGCATTTATTATTTATTATTTTAGTAAGTCAAAATGCTTAAATATATATATATATATATTTTAGAGAGAGCATGTGCGTGTGAGTGGGGAGGGAGAGGCAGAGGAAAAAGGAGAGAGAGAATCTTAAGAAGGCTCTACGTCAGCACAGAGCCTGATGGAGGGCTCAATCTCATGACCCTGAGATAATGACGTGAGCTGAAATCAAGAGTCAGATGCTTAACCAACGGAGCCACCCAGGCACCCCTTTAAATATATTTTTTAGGGGAGGGGTGGGCAGTAACAGAGGAAAAAAAAATGCAAGAAGTAGGTAAATTCTCTGTAAGTGAATATTTTGTAAAACATCGGTCATAAGTAGAATTGTTCATCTTCATTCTTGTAGTAGATGGCAGGATAAAGTTTTTGTTTTTTGATTTTTTTTTTTTTACCATGTCTTAGAAGGCTTAAAATGCAAAGCTTGTTTTCTATGAAAACCTTTTTCTTTTTAATTAAAGATTTTGTTTACTAAGAAGTAAATTTTAAACTATATATATTTCATCTTTGATTTAGATAAATCTGTATAGATAGTATTGAATGAAATCATACAACCCAAATTTTAGGTACTTAATATATAGGAGGCCTTCCTTTATAATTTAAATTAATTTCATTAAAAATATATTTCTAACAGGAATATAATTTTCTCCCTTGACTCTCTCCCTTTTATATTAAAAGATTTTATCTTGAGCTTCTTGTGTTTACTAAAGAAGGTCATAGTAGATGTGTTACATATGTTAGAATACAAATTGTCCACTTAGGGTAATATTGCTTTACTTCATTTTCTTAAGTGCTGGGAACACTATAAGTAGTTGAATGATTTGTTTGTTATTGGGTTTGTTTTCATGTGTGTAGAATTAATATAGAAATATCAAGCATCATTAAATGCATTTTCCTAAAATACCTTTCTTTTTAATAGCTATTACAGAATTCCTGCCGAGTGCTGCACTTTTTCACTAGAAATAAACGATTTTTAGCAGTCAGTTTATTCAATTTCACAAACCAGCATGTTTCTTTGAGATTGGCCTGGATTTTACAGAACCTGGTTGAGGTAAGGAAAGATTATGTGTTGTCATGTACGCACGCACATGTGTGTAAATTACAGGGAAGAAAAAGATAAAGAAATACAGTAATTTGCTTATTTGAGGGAAAATTAAGTGTCTACTACATATTGGGATGGAATACAGGAATCTTTACTCTGTTTTTTAAAATATTTTATTAAAAAAATTAAAAAAAAAATTTTAAATTTATTTATGAGAGAGAGAGAGAGAGAGGCAGAGACATAGGCAGAGGGAGAAGCAGGCTCCATGCACCGGGAGCCCGACGTGGGACTCGATCCCGGGTCTCCAGGATCGCGCCCTGGGCCAAAGGCAGGCGCCAAACCGCTGCGCCACCCAGGGATCCCTTTTTTTTCTTTTTTCTTTTCTTTTTTTTTTATTTATAAAAAACTATTTTAAAGTCATAACACACACACACACACACAAAGTTGTAACACATATAGAAAACTGAACAAAACAAAAATATACCACTCATTGATACATTGTAGAGCAAACATCTGTGTAACACTACTAGAATCAAGAAATAGAACATTGTAAAAAAGAAAAAAAGAAAAAAAGAAAGAAATAGAACATTGTGATACTATGTATCACATTTTCTTTCCACTTTGACACTTTTACTGTTATACTTAGGTGTGTTTTTTTTCTCCACACTATATTTTAGTTTTAACTGAATTCTTTTGTATTTTGTATAAATATGTAAATTAATTTTCTTCTATTTTCATTGCTATTTAGTGTTCAGTATTTGATTTTATCACTTCATTTATCCATTCTTTTCATGTACATTTGAGTTATTTCTAGTTTTGGACTGTTATGAATGATGCTGTCTTTGGGGAACATATTAAAGGCATTTCTGCTTTATCTATATATAGGAATGGAATTTTTAGGGGATGAATGTGTGTGTGTATATATATCTTCACTTTTAGTGGATAATATAAAAATATTTCCCATAATTTTTGATAATTTACATACCCACTATTAGTCATTGAGAGGACTTCATATTTTATTTACCATGATAATTGGTATTATCAGGTTTTTTTTTTAATTTTAGCCATTTTGGTAGGTAGAAGTAATCTCTCATTGTGATTTTAGATTGGATAATAAAAAAAGAAGAGCCAACTATATGCTGTCTATAGGAGAAACACTTTAGATTCCAAAATACAAATCAGTTAAAAGTAAATAGATGGAAAAGATCTCTCATGCAAACAGCAACCATAGCTAAGTGGATATGCTAATATACAACAAAATAGACTTTAAAACAAAAAATGTTATTATAGCTAAAGAAGGACACTTTATAATGATAGTCAATCCACCAGAAATATATAACAATTATAAACATATGTGCACGTAATAACAGTGCCCCAAAATACATGAAATAAAAGTTGACAGAATTGAAGGGGAAGGGCAGCTCGGATGGCTCAGCAGTTTAGTGCCACCTTCAGCCCAGGGCATGATCCTTGAGACCTGGGATCGAGTCCCATTTTGGGTTCCCTGCATGGAGCCTGATTCTCCCTCTGCTTGTGTCTCTGCCTCTCTCTCTCTCTCTCTCTCTCGCTCGCTCGCTCGCTCGCTCTCTTTCTCTGATTCTCTCATGAATAAATAAATAAAATCTTATATAAAAAGAATTTAAGGGGAAAATAGACAATTCAATGGTAATAGCTAAAGACTTCAACACCCCACCTTTAATAATGCATGGAACAACTAGACAGATCAACAAAGAAATAGAAAACTTAGACAATAGTATAAGCTAACTAGATCAAACAGGTGTTTATGGAAAACTCTAATAACAGAGTATACATTCTTAAGTGCACATGGAATCTTCTCCAGGATACACACATGCTACACCATAATGCAGGCCTCAGTAAATTTAGAAGGACTGAAATCATACAAAGTATTTCTCTGATAACAAAGGAATGAAATTATAAATAACAGAAAGGTGAGGTGCCTAGCTGCCTCAGTCAGTAGAGGATGTGACCCTTGATCTGAGGGTTGTGAGTTCAAGCCCCACAGTGGGTGTAGAGATTACTGAAAATAAAATCCTAATTAAAAAAAAAAAAGAATTCACAGAACAAAATTTGGGAAGTTCAAAAATATATGGAAATCAAGCTATATTCTTACATGACCAATGGGTAAAAGAAGAAATTCTGTGAGAAATTAGAAGATACTTTGAGATGAATGAAAATGAAAACACAATATACCAAGTCATGTGTTGCAGCAACATCAGTGTTTAGATAAAAATTTATAGCCAGACTATATTACCTATAGAGACTATGTTAACAACTGTCTAACATTCTAACTTAAGACACTGGCAAAAGGTAGCAAGCTGAACTCATAGTAGTAGAAGGGAAGAAATGTAAAGATTAGCATGAAAATTAATGAAATAGAGAGTAGAAAAAATAGTTGAAAAAATCAACAAAACAATGGTTTTCATGTCTTTCTATGGCTTGGTAATGCATTTCTTTTTATCACTGATTAGTATTTCATTGTCTAGATGTATTTCAATTTGCTTATCTAATCACTCGTTGGAGGACATATTGTTGCTTCTAATTTTTGGAACTTATGAATAAAGGTGCCGTAAACATTTGTGTGCAGGTTTTTGTATAAAGATAAATTTCAACTCATTTGAGTAAATACCTAGGTGTGCAGTTGCTAGATTAGATGATAAGATTATGGTTAGTTTTTTAAGAAAATGCCAAACTATCCTCCAAAGTGGCTATACCATTTTACATTCCTACCAACAATGAATGAGAGTTCCTGTCGCTCCACATCCTTGCTAATATTTGATATCAGGGGTTTGGATTTTAGCCATTCCAATAGGTGTGCAGTAGTATTTCATTGAATTAACTTGTAATTCCTTGGCATAACAATATGATGTAGAAATATGACTTTTCTTTCCTTTTTTTTTTTAAAGATTTTATTTATTTATTCATGAGAGACACACAGAGAAAGAGAGAGAGAGGCAGAGACACAGGCAGAGGGAGAAGCAGGCTCCACGCAGGGAGCCCGATGTGGGACTCGATCCCAGGTCTCCGGGATCAGGCCCTGGGCTGAAGGCGGCGCTAAACCGCTGAGCTACCAGGGCTGCCCTTTTCTTTTCTTTTTAAACATTGACAAGGACTTCTAGGATATATTGACTAGAGGGTTGGCCACACACATCCTTTTCTCATTCCTGATTTTGGGACAAAAGCTTTCAACATTTCACAATTTAGTATGAATTTGTAGTAGTTTTTCTTTAGATACCCTTTCTCAAATTAAGGAAATCCTCTACCTTACTTAGTTTGCTAAGACTCTTTATTATGAGTAGATGTTGAATTTATCAAATACATTTATATTTGTTATCTGTATCTGTTGTCTAGGAGTGGCATCCTACTTGTGGTTTGTAGAGTGTCTTGAATTCATTGCTTGATTTCTTTTCATTGATTTTTAAAATTTCTCAGCCATTATCTTCAAAAGTAACTTCTCCATTCTTTTCCTTCTTGAAAATTTGATTATGTGCATGTTAGGCCTTCTCACTAACTCCCCTTTGTCTCTCACTCTTTCATATATTCCATTCTTTTGTCTCTTTCTTACTTTATTTTGGATATTTTCTTCTAACCTTTCTCCCAAATCTATTCTCTCTTAAGTTGTTCCTAATGTGCTAATAAAACCCATCCATTAGGGTGCCTGGGTGGCTCAGTTGGTAAAGCATCTGCCTTCGGCTCAGGTCATGATCCCAGGGTCCTGGGATGGAGCCCCATGTTGGGCTCTCTGCTCAGTGGGGAGCCTGCTTCTTCCCTTTCCCTCTGCCCCTCCCCCCTGCTCGTGTTCTCTCTCTCTTACTGTCAAATAAATAAATAAATAAATAAATAAAATCTTTTAAAAAATCCATTAAGTTCTTAATCTTTTAGTTCTAGAACTTTTTGCTTTACATAATTAGCATGGCATTTTAAAGTGTATAACTTAATTCTAATATCTGAAGCCCAATAGATTCTCTCTTTTTTTTCATGGTCTCCTGTTTCCTCAGATGCCTGATTATTTAATTTCTTTTAAATTTAAATTACTTTATGGATGTATGATTAACATACAAAAAGCTGGGATCCCTGGGTGGCGAAGCGGTTTAGCGCCTGCCTTTGGCCCAGGGTGTGATCCTGGAGACCCAGGATCGAATCCCGCGTCGGGCTCCTGGTGCAAGGAGCCTGCTTCTCCATCTGCCTGTGTCTCTGCCTCTCTCTCTCTCTCTGTCTCTCTGTGACTATCGTAAATAAATAAAAAATTCAAAAAAAAAACATACAAAAAGCTGAACGTATTTAATATATATAACTCCATGAGTTCGATGAGCCTGGTTACTTATTTGTATGCACGTGTACATATATCAGCTAGACATTGTATTTGCAAAATTATATGTAGAAATTATGGGAGCCTTAACATAGCACTCTTGCTCTGGATAGGATTTATGTTTGTTTTTTCCATTCTTGTAGGCACCAGGATTACCTCCATCCAGTTAATGATTGGGGTGATTCAAAACTGAGTTGCAGTTCCTATGACAGCTTGTCTTTCTAGTTTATCCTTACTCATAGGGTAGAGCCATTTTTTTTTTTTTTTTTTTTTTTTTTTTTTAAGATTCTGTTTATTGAGGCACCTGGGTGGCTGAGTCAGTTAAGCTTCTGCCTTCAGCTCAGGTTGTGTGATCCGACAGGATGGAGCCTGTGTCAGGCTCCCTCCTCAGTGAGGAGTCTGCTTCTCCTTCTCCCTCTGTTCCTCCTCCATCTTGTGCTGTCTCAAATAAATAAAATCTTAAAAAAAAAAAAGAAGAAGAAGAAGAAGAAGATTCTGTTTATTCAAGAGAGTGTACACACAAGGGGGGGGCATGAGAGGGGGTGAAAGGGATGTGACCTGATATGAAGGCAGATGCTTAACCACCCTGAGCCATTTGAGGTCTTAATCCAAAACAAGGAGGATTGACCTGATGCTTCTACCTTAGGAAGCCCTAATGTTGACTCTGTTCTTGTAGCCTCATATGAACCTACTATCTATTAGAGGACCTGACTTTCAATTTTTTTTTAAGATTTTATTTATTTATTCATGAGAGACACACAGAGGGAGAGAGAGGCAGAGACACAAGCAGAGGGAGAAGCAGGCTCCATGCAGGGAGCCCAATGTGGGACTCGATCCCAGGTCTCCAGGACCATGCCCTGGGCTGAAGGCAGGCGCTAAACCGCTGAGCCACCCAGGGATCCCTCAAATATTTTTTGAATGAATGGATGAATTTACACTATTTACCAGGCACTGAAATACAGATTAACCTTAATCTAATCTGGAACAAATTTTAGAATCACAATTTCTAAATTTAAAGAGTTTGAAATAAAGTAATATTACTTTAAACACTCCATATTTAAGTGGTTTAAAACTCGAATGGAATTTTCAAAGTATTTGTTATAAATAATCTGCAAATGACTACTTTTTTGGAGCTTATGTCATGTGTTTTCATTTTATTGATCTTTTCTACTGTTCAAATATAATTCATCCTTAAATAGATTAATTTGCTATTCTTTTTATCTCATTTATTTAGGAGACATTTTTCAAACATCTCCTATATGCCAGTAACTCTTCTAGGTATTGGACTTACAAATTTAGTTCCTGCTCTTAAGGAGCTTAGGGTCTAATAGGGAAGTGATGATGTGAGATAAGGGCTATGTGGAAGATTTCCATAGGGTGCTGGCCTGGGCAAAGCCAGGAACTGCTAGTCTGGAAGAACAAATAAGAGTTGGAGAGGTGATGAAGTATGACATAGGGCATTGTTTGCCCTATGTTTAGTAATATCTCAGGGCACCTGGCTGGCTCAGTGGGTAGAGCCTGAGGGTAGGGCTCAGTGGGTAGACTCTTAATCTTGGGGTCGTGAGTTTGAGCCCCACATTGAGCATAGAGCCTATTTAAAAAAAAATAGTGAAATCCCCACAGTCATTTCATTTTCTTTATTAGCTAGTTTTTTTTTAATTTTTTTTTAAATTTTATTTATTTATGATAGTCACAGAGAGAGAAAGAAAGAGAGGCAGAGACACAGGCAGAGGGAGAAGCAGGCTCCATGCACTGGGAGCCCGATGTGGGATTCGATCCCTGGTCTCCAGGATCGCGCCCTGGGCCAAAGGCAGGCGCCAAACCGCTGCGCCACCCAGGGATCCCCTTTATTAGCTAGTTTAAAGATGTTTTGTGGGTTGGATTTGAACCGTGATTATACCATCCCGTTTTATTTTTTTTTTATTTTTTAAAAGATTTTATTTATTTATTCATAGAGACACAGCTAGAGAGAGAGAGAGAGGCAGAGACACAGGCAGAGGGAGAAGCAGGCTCCATGCAGGGAGCCCGATGTGGGACTCGATCCCAGGTCTCCAGGATCACGCCCCGGGCTGCAGGTGGCGGTAAACCACTGCGCCACCAGGGCTGCCCATACCATCCCATTTAGACTTTGTGTATGTAGACTTTAGTTTAGACATGTAGTCATATGTCTAAACTAAAAATATGTATACGTACTTTGTTCTTTCATCACAAGTGTAACACATGCTTTGTGTAAAATTAAAGCCTTTTATACCTTATAGTAATTGGGAGTATATTTTTTTAAATAGCTTCTTTATATATATATATTCATTCTTATAAGAAATGGGATTATATTGTATTTACTAATCGGCACTTAATTGTGCACTTAATAATTTAGCCTTTTTGAGTCAGTTTTGTGCTGTTGTATTTTCTAGGTACAAAAAGCAGTTGAAGAAGATAATTGTTGCTTTGGGACTCTTGATACATGGTTGTTACATAAGCTCACAAAAGGTAAAGATGATCTGATCTATCTCAAGTAACTGAGATTTGATAGAAATGATTCACCTAAAAAAGTGGAAGTTACTTTTTTTCCCTTCTCTTATCCCAAACATACTACTCCTTGGTACCCTAGGTATAGTAAAGCTAGATAGACTTCAGATTTGTAAGGGGAGAGTGATTTTTAAATTGTGATGAAACCTCAAACAGAAGAACGGAGGAACAGTCTTAATTTCAAAAGTAGTAAGACTCAAGTTTGATAACACATTTGCCACTTTGCATCTGGGTAACTATAGGCAATCACATGGCATCTTTGAACTCCATCTTTAAACTGCGGATGGGAGTGCCTATGATCAAGCCCCCAAGTCAGTTCAGTCTCTGCACTCAGCGGGGAGTCTGCTTGAGATTCTCTCCTGTTCCTGCTGTAACTCAGTGCAGGCATGCTCTCTTTCTCTCTCAAATAAGTCTTAAAAAAAAAAATCTGAAGATTATGATGTGACAGTGTATGTGAAAGTGCTTTTGTAAATTATGAAAGTTCAAAAAGATTAAGTGGGAAATTGCTTTGGGGGCTTTGCACTGGAAATATATATTTTGGAATGAATTTGAGGCCAAAGCTCTAGATTATAAACTAGGGATAGTTGTTGATTGACACTACTTATAATATATTATTTTCAATGTAAATTTAGGTTCTGAATTTGCCACGGATTTTTCAAATGCCAGTGCAACTGGACTATTTGATCCTTACAAGGTAAAGTGTTTTTTTTTTTCCCTCCTTTTGAATCACCAATTTTTGTAGAATTTAGCTTGGATTCTGATGACATATTTTTATGTTCAGATGCATTGGAGCGGCCTCCTTGCTTCCTTGCTTTCAATACCACTTTCTATCTTGCCTCCTGTGAAGGATACGAGGTAATAAGGAACATCAGATATAGAAACCAGCAAAACTGACCCTGAATTCAAGTGCCTTAGCATTATATTATTTGTGTGGGATGCTTTTATGTTCATTACATAACTTTTTGGTTTATATGAAAATCAGAAAAAAAAATCAGTTTTCTGAATTATAGAATCAATGTTTCTAGAACTATAACTGACTTTTTCATCAATTTTATTTGAAGCCACAATTTTGGGTCAGTGGATGAAGAGATATTTGGTGTGCCTATACCAATAGTGGCCATGGTAAGTAGAAAACCTGAGTTTCTATATGTATAGTATAAACTAGATAATAGATATGAATAGTTGGGAGTAGATTTAAGAGACATTAAAGGTCCTTGTAGAATAAAAGTAAAGTATCTTTTTTTTTCTTTTTAAGTTTCTATGTCCTAGATATAATCAGGATTATTGTATATTCTGGAAAGGGGACCACTGGGCCAGTCTTCTGACATGAAAGTACTTTCTAATCTTTTCTGATTTATATATATTGTTTTTCATAACATTGCTAAATTTTTAAAAAATGTTTTATTCTGAGTAATGTGTGGTTTATATTTGATACTCTGAGACAAAAAAACAAGGATAGGTCAGGGATAGAGCCATTGCTTAGTTTGTGTTTGATACAGTATAACCAGACAGCAACAAGGCAGTTTAATGTAAAGAAGAATCTTGTATTTATATTTTATAAAATCCGTAGTCAGTATTATCAGTAAAGAAACGGTAGAAGAGTGAAAAATTATCTGTTTCATATTTTTAAGGTTTTTTTCTTGATTGTACTCTGTCTGGAGAAAAGGGCTAGAATTTAGAGAATCTCAAGGATTTTTCACCTGGTTGAGAGAATGTGTGGAAACTGACTTTGACTTTGATTTCCTATAATAGCTTAAGCAGGAAGTATAGGCCATCTTTCCTTAGGTGGATGGTTGCCACAATAGGTAGAGGAATCAGGTAAGAGAAGGGGAATTTAATTCCTAAGTTATAAATTCTTGGGTCACTTACAGAGGATTAGTCTTATTCACCTCAGTGGTAGGCTCAGGTTTAGATAAGGGTATGGCTGGAAGGATAATTGAAGTTTAGTGACAAAATGTTCTTCAGATGAGTTTTGGTCTTTAAAATATTGCTATATGTAATTAAGAAGAGAGGTGCCTGGCTGGCTCAGTCAGTGGAGCATGTGACTCTTGATCTTGGGATTATAAGTTCAAGCCCTACTCAAAATTACTTTTGAGTGTGGAAATTACTTAAAAATAAATTCTTACATTTGTAGAAATTTACTTAAAATCATAAATTTAATTTCTAGTTAAATTGTGTAGAAATTAAAATCTTAAAAAAAAAAAAAAAGCAAAAACAAAAAACCGCAGGCCCAAAATGGCAGCCCAAGTTAATAAGCCAATACTTGATACCTACTCTAACTGCAGTTTCAACCCCCCAGAAATGTAACCGTTAACCAGTCCACGGAATTTTCCATCAGCACTAGGAAATTTACTGATAGACCTTTTCCATTCCCCTTAGGAGGGCAACATTGCCTAAAACAGTGGATTTTTTTTTTTTTTTTTTTTGCTAATAATTCTCTTTTCCTACTCCCTCTCTACCTTTAAAAATCTTTCCTTTTCTGGGACACCTGTGTGGTTTGTTGGTTAAGTGATCAACTCTTGATCTCAGCTCAGGTCTTGATCTTAGTTTCATGAGTGTAAGCCCTGTGTTGGGCTCTGTGTTGAGTGCGGAGCCTACTTTAAAAAAAAAAAAAATCTTTCCTTTTCTGTAGCTCTTTGGTGCTCCCTGTACTTGCTAGATGGGATGCTGCCCAATTCATGGATTGATTAATAAAGCCAGTTAGATCTTTAAAATTACTTGCTTCAATTTTTGTTATTTAAGAGATTTGGTAGCAGGCAGCAACAAGATCCAAAGTGAACTTCCAACAGCATTTGGGGACAACGAGAAACATGGGCATGGTACCCCACGAACTCTTTGAATTCATGTGTTTCTCGCTGTTCCTGAGGGCTGTGGGTAAGTTCCCTCTTGGTTGTGAGCTTCACTAATTGTTCATTCAAGCTCCCCCAATCTAATTGGCCTTCCTTTACAGCCGAAACTGCCAGATGGTTATGCCCAGAGCTGGCAGTTTTGCCTGGAGCCCAACTGAGCTGGCAAAAGAGTCTGCCCAGAGCCAAATCCCTGGCCTTTCAGACCACAATTCCCCTGGAATTACTGGAAAACTCCAGCAAGATTCCACAAGAGTTGGCAGTGGTGAGCACAGGGCCTTCTTGTGACCAGGACACAGTAATGTCTCTTGGTTGTTGCTGATATATTAAGGTACACATATTTGTCTTACTTTGTGTAGATAAAGGCTATCACTAACAGGGATCTCAGAGGCCAAAAAACTGGAAAAATTGGTGGGCACAGGTTGAGCATTTGAAGACTGTTAGAACACTTGCCTCCTCAAGAAAATATAGTAAGTTGATGACAGAATGGGTTAGATTGATACAAGTTCCACCCACCAGCATCAAGAAAACTTCCATACAGTGAGGTACACTATAAAACGTGCAGGATCCCCAACCTAGTGACCCATCCTTTTAAGGTATTAGTTTGGCTCTGAGAAATCCAAAGGCTTAGCTAATGGGGTCCTTAAATTCTGAAGGGTCAAGCATGCCACCTTGCAGCATACCTGCTTATTTTATGTCTAAGAACTATAGTCCTAGAAGTTGTAGATATCTTGCAAAAATGGCACAATCTTACTAAGTTTGTTTTGTGCCTTGAGGAACTTGGCTCAGTAACTTGTCAGGTTGAGGCCAGACAGAAATACGAGTTGCACCTCATTTGCAGGTAGAATGGCTGGACGGAAATATGGGTTAACTCCATTTGTGCCTAGAATTCTACCAAACTGCCCCAGCCTTCAAGGGATTACAACTAAAAATACAATGGTCATTATGGGGACCATTCCAATTAGATAAAATCATGTAAGAAGTGCACTTGAAGGCAGGGATTCCCAAATTAAATGGAATAGGATACCTGTGTTAATTGGCAAGCAGAAGCCTCCAAAAGATTTCAAAATTCCCATGTTGTTCCCTTAAAAGATTCATGGCAGAAGGCTAATTAAAAATCAGAGAGAGAAGAGGTACCCAAAACAGAAGCCTGTTAAGAGTGACGTAACTCTTACTGCCCCCCTCTATCCTCCCTGTAGTACTCATTCTATTAATCCTGTGTCTGAATTGTTTCTCTGCTCAAAAAAAGACTATACAACCATAAACAGAACTCCACCACATTAGTGGCCTTACACACACCCCTGTATTTACCTTCATAGGAGGACTCCCATATAGACCTCTTCTAGAGTTGTTGAAACTGAGCGGTTTTCTGGTAAAATTGCTAGGTTATTCCCTTAAACAGTAAACGAGGAACTCTGGTAGATACTGGAGCCTGCAGAGGGCATCCTGGAAAAACTGGGAGAAGCCAGCAAAGGGTGAAAATTCTTACCAGAATCAATTCCTTCCAAATCTCTGTAGTGCCCAGTCCAGAAAGGAAAAGAAAATTTCACATCATCCCTTCCTTTCTAAATCCAGACTGTTGGCTATTGATCCTTTCTCTTCCAGAGATACCTATTGCCTTCTCTTTGTCTTGTTTTGCATAACTGGGCTTGGCTTTCTGCCTGCATGGGACATGCACGTTTTGGTTCTTTTGGCTATCATTGGGAGTGACTCTAGATCTTGGAAAGGTAGTATCTTTTTATTTTATTTTTTTATTTTTATTTATTTATTTATTTATTTATTTATTTATTTATTTATTTATTTTTTGGTAGTATCTTTTTAAACTGTCTTTGAGGATTCCTCTTACACCCATGGGGTATTATTCAGTGTCACCAGAAATAGTTTAAATTAAAACCATGTCCCCAGAGGAAAAAGAAACAAACGGAGAATAATGTAGTTAGACAGGTAGATCAACCCATAATGTCATTTAGCTTACAACCCAGTTCTTGGATGAATTGAAAGCGAGTGTCCTTATCTTGCCGATCTTCATAAAACTAGAAATGTAGCTCTACAGGCAATTCACAGTTTACCTGGTTCTTCATCAATTCCAAAACTTCCCCTATTTATCTCAAACAGATTGTAAATTAGTGGCTTTAGGAAACCAGAGTCCAAAAAATAAAAAATAAAAAATAAAAATAAAGGAAACCAGAGTCCTTCTTGGAAGAACTTGCATTCTTTCTCTGTCCCTTAAAGTTACACATATAATCATTTATTTGAAATGTAAACACAGCCCACAATCACCACAGAGAAAAAAAGGGAAAGAAGCCTTTTTAAAAAAAAAAAAATTACTTATTTATTCATGATAGACACACAGAGAAAGAGAGAGAGAGAGGCAGAGACACAGGCAGAGGGAGAAGCAGGCTGCACGCCAGGAGACCGACGCAGGACTCAATCCCGGGACTCAATCCCGGGACTCCAGGATCGCGCCCTGGGCCAAAGGCAGGCGCTAAACCTCTGAGCTACCCAGTGATCCCCAAGAAGCCTTTTTTTTTTTTTTTTATTTTATGATAGTCACAGAGAGAGAGAGAGAGAAAGAGGCAGAGACATAGGCAGAGGGAGAAGCAGGCTCCATGCACCAGGAGCCCGACGGTGGGATTCGATACAGGGTCTCCAGAATCGTGCCCCGGGCCAAAGGCAGGCGCCAAACCGCTGCACCACCCAGGGATCCCCCCAAGAAGCCTTTTTAAAATACAACCTTCAAAAGGGCTCTTTTCCCAAGCTCTAGTACAGATTAATCCCAGGGACAAATACAAGTCTTAAAAATCTCCACAAATATTAGTAACTATAGGGTCTTTATGCACATCTGTTTCTCTGTGTTTATAGTAAATGTGAGATATTTTTTCTACCTCTGGGTGGTATTGCTAAAATTAATTTGTAAAAGAACTCTATTTACTTGGTTTGAAGACAAACGCTGGTAAGGATTAGACATTTTAAAACTCAGAAAGAAACTAATCCAAATATTTTCTCAAGTTCACATGATCTGGGAAAATACTTGATGTGAAATCTACTTTAAGGTTGCTGGTTTAATTAAAGTAGACATATCTTGGTGCCTGAATGGCACAGGCTGTTAAGCAACCAACCCTTGGTTTTGGCTCAGAACATGATATCGGAGTTATGGGATCGAACACTGAGCCCTACGTTGGGCTCTGTGCTCTGTGTGGACTCTGCTTGAGATTCTCTCTCCCTGTTCCTCAGCCCCTCTCACTTGTGTGCATGTGCTTGTGTGCACTGTCTCTCAAATAAGTAAATATTTAAAAAAATTCAACTAGACATGTCTTTAGGGCTATTAGCAGTAACATTTTATTCTGACTTGGTTTACTTAAAGGCAAATAATGTAATGTTATCTGTTACAAATTTTTTTTTTTAATAGCTTGGCAGGGCACACCTGGGTAGCTCAGTTGGTTGGGCATCCAACTCTTGATTTCAGCTCAGGTCATCATCTTGGGGTCATGAGATTGAGCCCCGCATCAAGCTCTGTACTCGGTGGAAAGTCTGCTTGAGATTCTCTTTCTCTCCCTCTCCACCCCCGCCCCGCCCCTGACCCCCATCTTTCTCAAATAAATAGATAAATCTTAAAAAAAAAAAAAAAACTTGGAAGAGTAACTGACTTTATCTGATGTCTCAAGAAGTTTTTAGGGTAACATAAGTGTAATTATTAAGAACAAGTAAATAGATATAAATAAAATTAAAAATTTAGGTAATCTTTTAAATAGTCTCCCAAATCATTTTGGGAACCTAGCACTTAAAGTTTTGCTAAGTTAGATTAAGTAATGAATTAAGCTAAATTCATTAAATATCTATATCATTTGTAAATAAGATGGAATACTAAAATATCAGTTACTAAACATAGGTTTAACTTGTGGTGCCTGGCTGGCTTTGGTGGATCAGGTGACTCTCGATCTTAGGGCTATAAGTTCGAGCCCCACATTGGGGTAGAGATTACTTAAAAAATTTTTTAAATCTTAAAAAAAAGAAATAGCTACTTGTAGCTTCTTATTTCAGAACAACTAAAATGTATTTGCATATGTTTGTGCTACATTGGAAAATTAAAAAGACATATGCTTCTAAAAATTATAAAATATATTTATAAATTTGCCAATCTAAAGAATGCCAATTTAACAGACAGTTCCCAATTGCTTAACACTACTAGAAATACACTCCAAATATTGGGAATTACCCTTCTTAAAATTATCACAATTCTCTCCCTAGTACATTGTATTCTTTCAAAAGCTTTAAATGCATGTTAACTGCCAAGCACATGATCTCCCTAAGAGTGGAACATGAGAAAAGGAAGAGCCAACATAAAAATTGTGAACCTGAAGTTGTAACCTGTGAATATCACAGAGATTAAGCAAAAAAACCATCGTGACCTGTGAATGCCACACAGAGGATCAGTAATAGCTGTGAGAACTCTGGAGTGGTGGTAGAGAATGATACTAATGCTTTAAATTTTGATCGCATCTCTCAGTTAAACTAGAGTCTGATCAAAAGGGAGGAATAAAAAAACCACAGGCTTAAAATGGCAGCTACAAGCCAATAAACCAAGACTCAATAGCTAACCTACCTGTAGTTTCAGCCTCCCAGAAATGTAACCCTTAACCAGTCAACATGGGAATTTCCCAGTAAGCATTAGGAAATTTAATGATAGACCCCATCTGTTCCCCTTAGGAGGGTGACCTTGCCTAAAACAATGGATTCTTTGCTAATAGTTTCCTTTTTTCTCTGCTCTTTCTCTACTTTTAAAACCCTTTCCTTTTCTTTAGCCCTTTGAAGCTCACCTCTGCTAGATGGAATGCCCAATTCATGCATCAATTAATAAAGCCTATTAGGTCTTTAAAATTTACTCTGTTAAACAATGATTCTTAACAAGCTACATACAATTATTTTAACAAATTGTTATATTATTTCTTTTAACAAAAGTAATATGATTGGGAATATGCAGTTTTGACCTGTATCTATTTATATTGAGCACACACCTATCACTCTTATTAAAAGAGAAATTTGTGAGGTCATTATTTTGACGAATGAAACTACTTTTAAGTTGAAAAATCTTAGTTTTTTTCCCCACAATTTTTATTCTGACCTTTATTTTTCAGATTTTTCCTGTGATATGACTTAAAAGTCATAAAGTGGGCTGCCTACTAAAAATTCCTGAGGCACATTATTCATTCACAAAATGTTAGTCCTGGAGAAACTTCTATCTTGTTCTTTCTAGGGATTTTTTTTTCTTTTAAGGAAAAGGAAAAAAGAAAACAAAATGTTGACCCTTGAGAATTTAATATAGCAGACAGTGGAATACAGTAAAATGGGCCACTGTATGACCCAGCCATCTTATATTTGAACATTTTTGACAGGTCGCCGATCAGCAATCAGCCATGTTTGGAGAGTGCTGTTTCCACGCAGGAGATGTGAAACTAACCATGGGAACTGGGACATTTTTGGATATTAATACTGGAAATAACCTTCAACATACTATTAGAGGTAAATAGTTAGAATTTATCCTTTTTATTGATAAAATATCATTTCTTTTTATATTTAACTTTTGTAATACTCTAATGTAATACTCTTTTGTATTCTCTAATGTATTTTTTGCTAGTATTCCAAGAGACAGTTAATTTCCAATTCCCTTTTTTCTTTAAAAGGATAAAAAAATGAGACATGTTATTATAGAAAAATTCAGGATTAGGGGCTTTTGGTCAGTTTACCAAATATTTACCTGTAATATCTGTTATATTTGTTTAAAACATCTTTCTAGGCCTCTAAATTTTCTTTTATGTGTTAGCAGTTCTTCTTTTGTGATTTTTTTTTTTTTTATAATTCTCAACTAGTGATCCATGCATATTTAATGACAGTTGCCAAGAAATTGGTCTCCCTTATGGAAGACATCTTAGGATGTGTAAACAAAGAAATTTAGAATGTGGAACTATACCCTAAGAGACCTGTGGATTCTAAATCTGGACTATGGTCTCCTAACATGGTTACTAAGGGGTAGATTTTAAAAATCTTTTTCTTACTTTCCATCCTCCCTCAAGCTCTTCCTTTTCCCCTAATTAGGAAAATTAAAGCTAGAAAATTTCATCATTGCGTTAGATTATTTCTATTTAGGAAGCTTCACAGATAAATGCAATAGCATAGATGGCTCTGTGTGTTTCTAGAGACATAGATATGCCTATGGCTACTAAAAGCTAATGTTTATTGTTCATATTAAATACCAGACACTGCACTAAGTTTTTTATGCAGTAATTCAGTTTATTCTCACAGGAGCTTTCGGAGGCCAACTATTTCACAGTTGAGGAGACTGAGGCTAAGAGGTTAGAAACTTGTGAGACCACTGACTTCAGAGCCACTTTGCTATTTTTTAAGATAATCAAACTGTAGATGTCTCTGTAATGAATTATCTATTTATTACATTTGACTTATTTTGTTTCTTTTTTTCTTTAAGGCTTTTATCCACTAATTGGGTGGAAGATTGGCCAAGAAGTTGTATGCTTAGCTGAAAGCAATGCAGGAGACACTGGCACTATCATAAAATGGGCTCAAGAATTAGGTAAATCTTCTTTTAAACAGATTTCATAGAACAGACTTAAAGAATTCAAGAATGTCATAGGACTATTGACGAGTAGAGAATGAGTGGATTGTTCAAATGAGACTTAAGAACTATGATTAAAAAAAAATAGGATATTATTTTTATGACACTGGGATGGTAAAAGGCTAAGCCTTAAGGCCGGATACCATAAAGAAAAAAAAAAAAAAGACAGTAAATTTAAGTATATAAATTATTAGAATGTGTAAGGAGAGATGGTATAAGCAAAGTTAAAAGTCAAATTGGTAAGACCAATTTGTAGCATACACCAAAAAAATTAATAAAGATGACTAAAGAATGAACAAGGAGATCTCTGGGTGGCTCAGTGGTTTAGTGCCTGCCTTCGGCCCAGGGTGTGATCCTGGAGTCTTGGGATCGAATCCCGCATTGGGCTCCCTGCATGGAGCCTGCTTCTCCCTCTGCCTGTGTCTGCCTCTGTGTGTGTTTGTGTGTGTGTGTGTGTGTCTCTCTCATGAATAAATAAATAAAATATTTTAAAAAAAGTTAACCAAGTACAGAAGTACAACTATCATAAATAACTACTAAAAAATGCTACTCAGAGGCTCCTGGAAGGAGCATTTGACTCTTGATCTCAGGGTTACTAGTCCAAGCCCCACATTGGGTGTAGAGATTACTAAAAAAAATAAATAAGTAAACTTAAATAAAATACTATTCATTGGGCACTTGGGTGGCTCGGTCACTTAAGCATCTGCCCTCAGCTAAGGTCATGATCCCAGAGTCCTGGGATCGAGTCCTGCGTTGGGCTCCATGCTGGGCAGGGAACCTCCTTTTCCCTCTCCCTCTCCCACTTTACTCTCTCCCTCTCTTGCTCTCTCTCAAATAAATAAATTAAATCTTAAAAAAAAAAAATTAAAAATGAAAAAAATGCTGTTCAAATTCCACAATCAAAGAAATACACATCTAAAAAATGATGTCACCTGTCATTGACATTTGGGTTATTTTCACTTTTTGGCTATTGTAAATAATGAACAGCCTGTATATTATATAGCCATATTTCATGCAGAAGGTGTGAAATGTTATATACCAAAGATTAACAGTGGGTATCTCTAAACAAACAAAACAAAACAGTGGGGTATCTCTGATGATAAAATTATGGAGCAGGCTATGGTTTTCTACTTTGCTAATTTGAACTAAGCTGATTCGTTTAAAGACAGAGCTAAATCTTTTGGCAGTAAACATAGGAGGAAAATGCCAATCTATCTCCTTTCTTCCTTTTTCTCTTTCTCCATGAGCCTGCACACAAAAAAAAGTTTATTTCAAAGTTTTCTGTTACCTCCTTAAAGTCTCTTGTTTTTTTTCTTTTTTTAGATTTATTTATTTATTTATTCAGAGAGAGTGTAAGAGTGAGATCTTGAGAAGGGGGAGGGGCAGAGGGGGAGAGAGAGACAATCTCAAGCAGAATCCCTGCTGAGCATGGAGCCCAGCAAGATGCTTGATCTCAGGACAGGACCCTGAGATCATGACCTGAGCTGAAATCAACAGTTGGAGGCCCAACTGATTTAGCCACCCAGGTGCCCCAAAAGTTTCTTCTTTAAATGTACTTCTTTTCTTTTCTTTCCTTTTCTTTTTTTCTTTTTTATTTATTTTTATTTTTTTTAAAGATTTTATTTATTTTTTCAGGACAGACACACACAGAGAGAGAGAGAGAGAGAGAGAGAGAGGAGAGAGGCAGAGACACAGGCAGAGGGAGAAGCAGGCCCCATCCATGCAGGGAGCCCAATGTGGGACTTGATCCCGGGTCTCCAGGATCACACCCCGGGCTGAAGGTGGCGCTAAACTGCTGGGCCACCGGGGCTGCCCTGTTTTGTTTTTTTAAATATTTTATTTATTTATTCATGAGAGATGCAGGAGAGAGGCAGAGACACAGGCAGAGGGAGAAGCAAGCTCCATGCAGGGAGCCCACTTAACCGCTGGGCTAACTGTGGCATTAACACTTAACCGCTGAGCCACTCAGGCATTCCAAATGTATTTCTTTTATTTTTGGACATCTATGTTGATTATCAGAAATAGAAAATTATATATTTCTTCTCTTTAAGTTATACCTTCTATTAATTTTACTTCCTTCCCAGAAGATGCAAAGAAAAAGCAGAATAATTTCACATTCATCAGTTAAAAAAATCATTCTAGAGTTCTGTGTGACATCATGTGCACATTCTCCATAGGAATCTTTGTTTTGCTGGATTAAGGCTCATTCACCATGATTCTCAAATGATGAAAGCTCTTTTCTGGGAGATGGGGCTAAATGGTCCTACCTAGAAAAGTGGTGTGATTTCTGGTGGAGTCACAAGCTCTCCTAAGGGCCAGTTGCGTATCTGGCAAGAAAATGGGACTATTGTCCTAACTGGAGGGAGAGAGAATTCAGAGTTGAGTTATTTACTTTAAATTTTTAGTCATTGGTAAAGCTAAACCTTATTGTACGTATCTGTCTGAAATTCACACAAAAAAAGCTGACATTTATTTGAATATATATCACTTTAATGGGTATACTGAGAAAAATTAATTATGTTCAGGAGAAACACAGTGTGTAAGAGCCTAAGTAGCCCTGGAATTTCCTTGAATGTGTAAGCTGAGACTATCTTTGTGTGGCATCCTGAGCTTGTTCCAATCTGAATGATGGCTTCCTTCCACTTGTTTTAGTGGATTGAGTACTTCAGGCTCAGGTATAAAAGCTGTTTAAAACAAGTTTCATCTTGATTTTCGGATCTATTTTCTAAGTCTTTTTCACACAGCCCAATTTTTCCATTTTTTCCCCTTTAGCCCTCTATGTTAATTCAACATTTGGGTTCCCACAGGATCATCTCTTCTTTTTAATTTGATCCATTTCTGCTCCCCTTCACTCTTTGTTCTATTTTGCTGTCTTAATCTTAATAAATATTTTTTATGTCTTCTAGCTTTTATTGAGTTAACAAGTAACTGAGTGCTCACCGTGTGCCTGGAACTGTACATGTGAGGGGACACAAATGAATAACACAGACACCTGCTGCTCTCATGGCATTTATAGTCTAGCAGGAAAGACATGTTTTAAATGAAAAGCTGAAAAAAATATATATATATATATATTAGTGTTAAGTCCCAGGAAGAAGAAGTAGTAGTAGGATCAATGATCCCTTTTTAAAGGGAGAGCTTTGTCTAGTCTGGAGAATCAAGAGGCTTCTTTCAAGAATGATGTTGGCTATTCCCTGAAGGGATAACAACTAGTGGTTGCACCTGGGTGGCTCAGTTGGTTAAGCATTGGACTCTTGATTTCCACTCAGGTCCTGATCTCATGTTGGGCTCTGTGCTTAGTAGGGAGTCTTCTGGAGATTTTCTCCCTCTCCCTCTGCCCCCTGCCCTGCTTGCTCTCTCTCTAAAATAAAAAAATAAAAAATAAAAATAAATCTTAGAAAGAAAGAAAAGAAAAGAGTGGTTTTATAGGTGAGAGAAGCAAGTTAAATTAGGAGGCAGTCCAAGTAAGGAGGAGTAGTGAGGTAGGCCCCAAGCAGGGAGAAGCATGACCTATTTAAGGGACTAAAAGAATGCCCTATTTCTTCTCTGCAGTTCAGGCAGTTGACATCTCTGTTGTCCTCCAGTAACACAGGTTAGGGAACATTTTTTCCCTAGCAATATCACTTTTAATTGCTACGTGTCACATCTGCTTGCTCCATGCAATCCCCATAAGACTTCCCCATACACATGTAAAATTACCCAGGACTCTTGTTTACTAGAAATAAGGAAACTGATTCCTCTCAGGGTATCTTCCCAAGAGAGAAAGTATCCCTCATTAGAAGGGATGAGATAAACATTTTCTCATTATATGAACTAGTTCTAGGTGGTGGTGAACCGCATACATGTTACTGCTGGTGAACAGGATCTTAGTTAATGGTCCCAGATCCCTCTCTTCTTGTTGGGGAAGAGAAGTATGGGTTATCACTGAAGCTCAAGTAGAGCCCAGTATGAATGAATCCTTAAATTCTCAAGTAGACAGTGCAGACCCAGGGTCTTGTAGAGGCCACCACCTGAGTGTTATTGGTGAAAATATTAGAGGCTGCTAAAGACGCTTGGATGTTTGGGGCTCCTGGGTGGCTCAGTTGGTTTAGCATGGACTCTTGATTTCAGTTAGGTCATGATCTCAGGGTTGTAAGATCAAGCCCCAAGTCAGGCTCCTTGCTGGGTGTAGAGGTTACTTAAGATTCTTTATTTCCTTCTCCCTCTGCCCCTCCCACATCATGCCCATCCCCTGCCCCCACTCTCTCGCTGTCTCTTTAAGAAAAAAAAAAAAAAAAAAAAGATGCTCCGGATTTTCTCTATGGATCCAGCCTGCTGAGCCAGGAGAAAATCCCCAAAGAATGTGGAGAAGAAGGCTGGCCTGGCCAATCCCTGGGAGAGCTTGCCAACAGTGGACATCAATACTGTTTGGTCTGAACTGCTCCTCTTCCAGCCTGAGAGAGGGAGGCCTAATCTTTCTCATATTTCCAGAAACCAGAGAGCCAAGGTTCACTCCTCTACCTCTCTCATTGCCTGACAACCCCATAATGAGCCTGATCTGAAAGGAAGCACAATGTAAGAACATACAGCACCCTGAAGGCAGGTATAATAGAAGAAACTGAAGATTAAAATAACACCAACAAAAGTTAAACTTGAAGGGTTGAAAGAAAATATTACAAAGAAATGTTTGGAAAACATCCAGAGTTTTGAAGAACAAAACCTTGATATGTAAAACATAAAATAGTGCTAAAAATCCAAATAAGAATCATAAAGAATTTAAAAACAAAAAAGAAAAATAGAAGATAAAACTGAGAGGTAAGAGATACAGAGGAGAGATTAGAGAAAAAAATATGTGAACAGTAGTCTCTTTGCTGGCATATGAAAATGTAATTATGGTAATGGAGTTACAAAAATGTAAACATTGAAGCAAAAAATTGAAAATAAATTTCCTTGAACAGAAGAAAGACCTTAGTTTTCAG